AGGCAGCGACGAGCTCAGCCTCCCCTCTGATTGCGCAACCCCTCAGTAACTGGATGGAGCGCGGGCAATCAGCGCGTGCCTGTTACTATCTCAGTATGTCACCAACGTAATGTTTGTAGACCCCTTCATTTAATGTCTTCGCCTTCCATACTCCAGGTAACATATTTCACGTATGTGTATAAAGATATTTAGGCTCGCTGGTCTCGTCATGAAACCGCAATGAAAAAGCACCAGGGGAGGCAGCTATCACATCTGCCTCACTGAGGGGGACGTGTCTAACACGCCCCCCTCCGCGAGACCACGCCCCTCAACGAGGACACGCCCCTCAGCGAGGCCACGCCCCCTCAGTGAGACCACGCCCCTTCAGTGAGGCCACGCCCCCTCAGTGAGGACACACCCCCTCAGCGAGGCCACGCCCCCCTCAGTGTGTGAATCTGGCTCTGACACGAGCCAGTGCCTCCCCAGCCATTGACCTCAGCGCACGTCACTGCTGTTAACATGACGCCGTGATGATGATGATGAGGATGATGGTGACGATGATAATCATGAGAGTGATGACGCTAACTGTGGTAGTGATGTTAATTTGTTGATTCAAGCAATAACGACGACGACAATGATGGCGAGGATGATGATCGAGACGAAGGTGATCATAACGGTGAGGTTGATGGTGACGATGGTGACGATGGTGATGATGATGGTGATGATGGTGACGATGGTGATGATGGTGACGATGGTGACGATGGTGATGATGGTGACGATGGTGATGATGGTGACGATGGTGATGATGGTGACGATGGTGATGATGGTGACGATGGTGACGATGGTGATGATCACGTGCCATCCCTGTGCAGGACTGGCAGGAGAAGTACATCCACGCGGACTACGACAAGATATTTGACGAGCAGAGCATTGTCGAGAAGGTAACGAGGTGGGGCAGGTGGGAACACGTGGCGAGGTGCGTGTATGTCGGTGCGTGTGTCTGTGTGAGTGTGTCTGTGTGAGTGTGTCTGTGTGAGTGTGTCTGTGTGAGTGTGACTGTGTTAGTGTGTCTGTGTGAGTGTGTCTGTGTGTGTGTCTGTGTGCGTGTCTGTGTGAGTGTGTCTGTGTGAGTGTGTCTGTGTGAGTGTGTCTATGTGCGTGCCTGTGTGAGTGTGTCTGTGTTTGTGTGAGTGTGTCTGTGTGCGTGCCTGTGTGTGTGTGTCTGTGTGAGTGTGTGTGTGTCTCTGTGTTTGTGTGTGTCTGTGTGAGTGTGTGTGTGTCTCTGTGTGTGTGTGGGGAGCGGCAGTGAAGCGGTTCGCGCTACGCTGCGCAATAAATCCGGCGACCGAGTTCGATTCCCGCTCACGGGCAACACCAGTGACGATTATCTGAACCGATCCTGTGCCTCCCCTAGGTCGACCCAGCCTCAAATGAGTACCTGGTGCGGTGTGTAAACATCGCCACTGGGGAGACAAAGGCGGTCGGCCGTGGTTCTGGCAACCCACTCCCTCGTGTGCCGTGCCGGCCTTTATAGGTGCTCGCTAACAGCACTTGCCCCAACAGTCTGTTGAGGCTACACGGGGGTTCTTTGTCTTTGTGCGAGTGCGCAGCCGTGTGACGAGGTGTTCTGGTTCCCGCTGTTCTCGGACGCCGCGTGCGACCAAATCATCGAGGAGATGGAGAATCACGGAGAGTGGTCCGGGGGGAAACACGAGGTCACTCGCACCACCAACACCACCGCACAACCACCACCACATCACCACCACCACATCACCACCACCACGCCACCATCCCACCACCACCGTCCTCACAACCACCGCACCACCACCACGATGACGTTGTTGTTGTTGTTGCAGGACAAACGCGTGGGCGGCTACGAGAGCGTGCCCACCGACGACATCCACATGGGGCAGATCGGCTTCCACGACCAGTGGCTCGCCTTCCTGCGCCGCTTCATCAAGCCCGTGGTCGAGAAGATGTACAAGGGCTACGTGACCGAGGCGAGACCCGCGACCACGCCGATGAGCTCCAAGGCGCCCGAAAGCCGCGTTTCCATTACAGTTGCCGCGCGGGGCATGCTGCACTGATGAGATATAGCAATGGTGAAGCCAGGAATAGCCCAGCTGTGTGTGGCTAGGAGGGGCATGCTGCACTGATGAGATATAGCAATGGGGAAGCCAGGAATAGCCCAGCTGTGTGTGTGGCTAGGAGGGGCATGCTGCACTGATGAGCTATAGCGATGGGGAAGCCAGGAATAGCCCAGCTGTGTGTGTGGCTAGGAGGGGCATGCTGCACTGATGAGATATAGCAATGGGGAAGCCAGTAATAGCCCAGCTGTGTGTGGCTAGGAGGGGCATGCTGCACTGATGAGCTATAGCAATGGGGAAGCCAGTAATGATACAGTCATTGCTCAGTGTATTAGGGCACCTCCACACCGATGCTCTCTAAGAAGAGCGAATACGTCAGTATTAATACAACAGTCGTTACGGAAAAATATCGGGCCACTCTAAACTTAAGTCCGGTCAGAAAAAGACAGACGTGATGATTGGTAACGTAGCAGTGGCCATTGCGGTAGCAGGGCTGCAACCCTGCTGATGATCACAAGCCGTGGTGTCGCTCTTTTGAATGCAGTCCCTGAGCGTGCTGAGCTTCGTGGTTCGCTATCGCCCCGATCGTCAGCCGTTCCTACGGCCACACCATGACGCGTCCACCTACACCATCAACGTCGCCCTGAACACCGCCGGGGTCGACTACGAGGTACCGCGCCTCCACCACACCTGCACCACACCTGCACCACACCTCCACCACACCTGCACCACACGGCGACTGCCAACACCACACCCTGGGGTCTCCTGGTCTCCCCACGTCTCGTGTCTATTGTCCCTCTGGGTTTCCCCTTTCATGCCTCCCTCACCTCAACATCTCTCCCGATGTCTCCATCTCATGTCCCCCGCGGTGCCGCAGGGTGGCGGGTGCCGGTTTGCCCGGCAGGAGTGCTCCATCACGGACCCCCGCAAGGGCTGGGCGCTCATGCACCCGGGCCGGCTCACGCACCTGCACGAGGGGCTGCCCACCACGAACGGCACGCGCTACATCGCCGTCAGCTTCGTCGACCCCTAGAGATCCCGCGATCCTGGGAGGCTCAACCGGGACGCGCCGGGAGCCATTCCCCACCTCACGGCCGGGTCCGTGTCCCGCCCGACGCCACGAGTCGTCAGTCCCACCCCTTGGCCCTGCGTGGCCCTGCGTGGCCCTGCGTGGCCCTGCTTGCCCCTCCCTCCACCCCACCGAGCCAGATTCAGACGTCTTCTTCTTATGAGGCCAGCAGCGCGGCACGGTTTGGTTCCCACTGGGCTCGGCAAACAGCCAGTGGAGAAAACCACTCCGTAGTACGTGAGGGTCCTGTGCTGGCTCGGCTCGAGTGTGCCAGTGGAAAATAAGAGGCGTAACAATGAGCTGGCAGCCCCACCCTCAACCAGCCCTGCCCACTTTTACATCGTCACGCCCACTCAGCCACCACCAGCACGAGCAGGTGGCTTTGCCAATGGTGCAGCCCACAGCTCAGAGGCCCCACCCACTACTCAGGTAGCCCCGCCTTTCCCTCACCGTCACGAGTTGACCATGAAGCCACTGTTTTAAGCCAGGGACAAAATTCAGATTTTTACAAAACTTTGGGACAGACTTTGAAATTGGGACCTTCAGTCAAACCAGGGCGTGTTTTTAATAAATAATTATGGTGACGGTGCACAGGCCCCAAGTTGGCAGGCTGGCGGCAGCATACAGCACTGTTCACGTGGCACTGCGATGGATCTAACAATAGTTGTACACGTTTCTTGAATTGAGCAAAGTTGTGAGAACTTGGGAAAACAGATGACGGGAGGGAATGCCAAAGTGACGCAGTGGAACAAACCACGAAGACTCGGCCCCGAAGCTCAAACCCCGAGGATAAGAGCCAGAAACGGCTGGCAACTGAAATCTCCGTGCCTCCTCCCGCTCAGCCTTCTTAACACTCGACATGTGGATTCTGGCTGCCAGCCAGTAACCCCCCCCCCTCGCTTTCCCCAGCTGCTCGTGTCCAGTCGCCGCCTCCGAATTCTACGATGTCTTCCCGCTCGTCTCCGTCTCCACCCTGGAGTCAACGCCGTCACATCTCGCGTGTGTCGTCGGTTCTCTGGCGACGCGCCCTGCCACCACTCCCGGCTCAATCTCCTTCGTCGCTGGGCACGACCACCGCGTTATGGCAGACGCGCGCTGCCCCCCCCCCCCCGCTGCCCCCCCCCCCCCCCGCTGCCCCCCCCCGCTGCTTGGACGTTACGAATAAAAGGATAAGACTTTCTTGTGCAAGTTTGGGTGTCGATCCCTTGAGGGGAGGGGGTGCTGGGGGGGGGGGGGCAACCCGGTGCTGGGGGGTGGGGCAGGGTTCAGTGCGGGTGTCGATAATTACAAGAACAAACTATTTGGCGGAAGTGCATCACGACTGCGTTAGGTTAGATCAGCTGTGGCTGTTATAGTTCCGCAGGCAATCGGCCGCACGCGATTTACAGCGGGTCTCACGCGCGGTGGTGGAGCAGGTTTGATGGGTCTCGGCCCGATCGCCAATAACTGCACGAACACAACTGGAATAACCCGACTTTGCAACTTAAACGTTTACAGAATTCCATCTCCAAGAATGAACGTACGGGACTGACGGTCACGCGACGAGTCTTGCCGTCACGCGCAAGGCAGCGGTCAAGCGATGCCCTCCGTGTACACGAAGCGGGGGGGGGGGAAATCACTTGATGGGGCCTTTCAGGGGGTAGCTCGATCATATCCACTCCCGTGGGCCGTTTCTCTCAGCGCCGATTTCACTGGGAAATTACAGCCACATTCTCAGGCGTTGGCCGCACCTCCGATCGGCGCCGTTGGCGACGTACGGCGCGAAAGAGGTTCAAAGCGGACATAGGAAAGCTCGGCCGTCGCCAACGCTCGAATATTTGTTTTGCGCATTGACAGAATCAGGGCATATGCACGGAGACGGCGCGCTCATGTGAAATGGCTTTATTACATCATTTTAGTTTCTTATTTAAATAACAACGGCGACACTGCACGCTACCGCACACGGCCACTCCCCTGGAGGGGTGGTGGTGGGGGGGGGATGGGGGTGGTCAGGAGAGGGGAGAGCAGGGGGGAGGCTGGGCGAGCGAGGACGCAGAGCAAAGTGAGAGACGCGGTGCGTGCGACGGGAAGAGCGTGTGGATGGAGAGACGGGTTTCGGAGTCGAGTGTGCACCGAAGGATCGCGGGGCGGATTTAGATCGACGGCTGCCACGAGGCAAGGGGGGGGGGGCACGGTGAGATCAAACAGGTCCCGTGGACCTCATCACAACCATCGTCACCGTCGTCAGGTTGGTGGGTGCGCGAGTCATCGCTTCAGGAGGCAAGAGCTGTGATACTCGCAACTCCACGGGGCGAAAGTGGCCAGCCAAATGGAAGGTAAAACGCAAACGAGCTCACGAGATTATCCGCGAAGACCTTGAGTGTTTATCCATCCTACGTCTGCACGGTGAGGTTTCTGTGGATACTCAAACACTCTGAATGCAGGACCCTCCTCAAGCAAGCAACGTGGATACTCTAGGAAGCTTCCTGGGTATAAAGGCCATTGTTATCAATCATCTTGGGATGGCACGGGGGTTTTGGGACGTGTGATAGAAGAGCTTCATAGCCCATCGGGGCTTTTGCAGCTGAAAGATTAAAACGTCTGGTGTCCAAAATGAGAGAAAGCTGAGCACCAATATAAACCACATGGGTTGGGGGAGGCGTAGGCGAGAGAGTTCGTGAGCAGGGGGTGAGGCGGCGATTGTGTGAGGAGGGGACGGGACCACAGCTATTTTAGTATCGAGACAAAAACGGAACTCATCTTCTCCAAAATGTAAATACCACCGAGAGTAAAATGTTGAGGCGGCAGACCGTGAAGACCAAAGTGAAACTGAATCCATGCACAACAAGGCACAGGACCCACAAAGCGGACTGTGGGACTCCAAAGCCCACCCCACCTATCATCACAAACACCTCTTCTTTACCATGGCACATCCGAGCACGGGGGGTGGTTTTTCCACTGGCTATTTTGTCGAGCCGAGCCAGAACCAAGCCGTGAAACTGAGGCCTCGCAAAACATCTGAATTTGGCTTGGGGGGCCAAGCAGGGCCAGAGTAGCGGGGGGCGCAAATATTTTCGGTCGTAGGTCGGTGTCGGTTTCACGTTGGACTTTTACCCACGACTCGACTCATCAATTGCGTTGCGTGGTAGGCGGCACGGCACGGCTCCAGGCAGTGGGGAAACAACAAAAACCACCAAGCGGGTGCCTCCCGACCCGCGCCTGGCTCGGTTGTGCGGTCAGAAAAACCCCAAGAGGGTGAAATAAAATCAGAAATAAAATCAGAAATAAAGAGACACGAGAGTCCGTAGCCGTTAACGCACATTGTTCCGTTTTACAGAGCGAGACGGAAGCGCGAGGAAACAGAACCGAGCGACGTTCCCAGCGAAATGAAAAAGGCATTTTTTTTTAGTTTTAAAGCGAACATGGGGAGGTAGGGGGAGGCGGCGGGGTCGGGAGGGTGCCCACTCAACCAGAAGCCAGCCACACACTCAGACCGCTTCTACAGTACACACCAAAAAGCTACGTTAAAAAGTCGATTATATTCATATATTTATAAAAACCTGCAATAAATCACGAGTTATTCTTCTTTTAGGCGATTAAGTTTTGTCTTTTAAAGATTTTTTTGATTAAAATTGTTTTAATTGTCTTGAGCGTCGTTAAATGGTTTCCTTTCAAAGTTTACTTTTTTTAAAAACGGGGAGGTTCGTGTCCATCTTTATCATCTTTTTGAACGTGAGAACGTTGATTCTGGGGGATGGTTTTGGGGGGGGGGGGGGGGGGTTGATCGTTACCGATCGGTAGAACGGTAAAAAAACACCACCGGGTGACGACCCAACCCGCTGGACAACCCTAACACGCCAAAAACATCACCACGGGTCACTTCAAGTCTGCGTTGTGTGCAGGGAACAGCGTTCAACGGGTTTGAGACGAGAAAGTTGTAAGAGCTGTTCGCATCATCCAGACAACACGTGTTTCATTCGTCCCCCCCCTCACCCCCATGTGTCCATTTAAACAAAACGAACCCCCACCGATCTCAACTCTGGTAAATAATTCCTCCGAGTTGTCGCAGTTTACAGCACACTACGGACCGGGCACTCCACCTCCACCACGACCATCACCACACATTCTCTCCGTGTCCCCGTTGCACCACCATCAACCCGTAACGGTGCTGGGGAGGAGGAACGGCAGGCGGAGCAAACTCGGGGTAGGCAAGGGAGGGATGGAGGGAGGGCAGCTGTTGGAAGTTTTAATGAAGGGGTTTCTATGGACAACAGAAATAGCTGGGGGGGGTACAACAGGACATCGGCGATCCAAGGCAGGCACCACAGGTGTGCGTGTGTGTGCACAAAACAAAATACAACAATCTGGACACGGAATATCACGGGACGTTGACAACCCCCGTCAGGGTCTGGCAATGACTTGGCAACTGCCCGCACCCACCTCCTTCCCATGAGAGATTAAGATTTCACGATTCTCGGTTGACGATTGGATAGGGGAAAAATCGATTCTTTGCAGCTCAGTTTTATTTAACTCCCGTCGTTTGGCTTCTATCGGTTTCTCTTTCTGTTGGCGTCATTCATACGGGTTTTGTTCACGACATCAGCCCAAAGAATAAGAACAATCACCAAGGGCATATCGGCCGCGGATAACTTGCAATCATCGCAATGGGACCATCGGGGAGGACCAAGATAGCCTTTAAAAAGGAATCTGTAAATTGGTTGGCTTCGCATACTCGGAGTCCCCCATCAGTGTCTGCGATGTTATTTGCCAAACGTAACTGCTGACAGGGTGCAATTTTATCGAATTCCTTCCGTACAATATGCCGCACAAATGTTGCGTGTGAAGATCACAACCACCCACCACCGCCAGGAGGCGGCTCGCCCAACCCAAAGCAAAGCGGGGAAGATTGCTCGGCCACAACTCGCGCCCCACCCTGCAGCCAGATGGGACACCGCAACCCTGGGACGACGACGTCACTCCGCTCGCCCTCCCAGGCCACCCCCAGCTCGGATTACCTCGATGACATCACCAACCCCATCACCTCCCGTCCAGCAGCACGAGTGGGGATGGAGGGGGAGGGATAAGACTCCCTCCCCTGCCACGTGTCGTGCTGGGTGGTGATGCGTGAAGGGGGCGGTGGGGGCAATCTTTTGAGCGTTTCCCTTCTTAATGTTGCCGGGGTTCTCCGGCTTCCTCCAATAAAAGAGATGTTGTAAAAGCGCACTTAGGGATTATTAAATATCGTCTACACAGTGGGGTTTAAAGTTTTACGTCACTTAAGTTTAAAAGCTCCGTTGAAAAACGAAGGCAAATTCCAAATGTAAAAAGGAGGGGGGAGGGTGAGGACCGGCGTTAAACTCATCCCTTATGATGCCAACAGAAAAAAAAAATTTCCCCACACCAGAGCTGCACGTCAATTAAAAAACTTGGCCACACATTCAACCCCGCCCCTCCCCCCCAATAAAAGAGCAGGAACCCTCAAGACAGGATCATCGTGACGACCTCGGCGGGTCAGAAGTCCCCCTTCACCTCGGGTTAAAGTAATAACCGGAGCGTTATTGTTACGACAGGTGAACGAGGCAGGCCCTGTGAACCGGCCCAACATTTTTGCGAACATAAAAAAACGACGGTAAAAATCACAATTATAATTGTGAAGGCCTACCAAGAGAGATACCGCAATAACAAAACAAAATAGAGAGAAGGAATCGAGTCGATATATTTTACAGTTAAAATCCGTCACAGTAACAATAATCGAATGGTAATTATTCTACCAAAAGCAAAAATGCACCCCCGTGCCCCATGAACCCGTCACCGCGTGGTGTTTAACCTATATACGAGTAGCAGTGATCATCAGCGTCGTCGTGAGCGCAAAATCACCGGTTCTTGGTGGCGTGCGACTCTGGGGAGGGGGGGCTCTCTCGCTCTCCACCACGGCTCTGTTGTGGCTGGCACCTGTGGGGGAGGCGAGCGGTGCATATGTACACGTGGGTCGGTGGCGGGACACCGAGAGGCGTGGACGCGGCGTAACACCGGGGCGCGCAAACAACGCCGCACGCGGGACGGCGTGTGGTCCGTCTCGGCGCTACAGGAGCAGAAAATGCCGGCCTCTGCCAGACGCACTCGTCCCTAGCGTCTTCTCTTTAGAAGGGGGGGGGGGGGGGGGAACACCCCTGAAGGCAGCATTGTTACAGCGCGGCTGCAAGAGAGGGGGGGGGGGGTCTCAAACCGATGTTGGGCGAGCGTGGTGGCTTCACCCTTGCCGGCCCGGCCGGGCCAGGAGCCGTCGATAACCGTGTGACCAAGCGGTGACCAAGCTGTGACCAAGCTGTGACCAAGCTGTGACCAAGCTGTGACCAAGCTGTGCCGGGCCAACTGCAGTCAATCGACACCGCAACTCACCTTGTCGGCCATCCACGAGTGAAGCCACAACCCTGCGTTGTCACTCTGCGGCGGGACTAAAGACGAAGGTTGAACGTTTATTGGTCGTTTGTTCAGCGCCCTTGAAAAATTTGCTCGCCATGTCACAGCGCGATATATATATTTTTTAATTGTCGTTATTATCACGACCGTCATGAGTTAAAAGGTAGCGCGACGGCGTTTACAGTCTGCCCCGGGGGGGGAAAAAACAACAAAGTGGTCCGCGGCTGGAATTTTCTGCTTCAGGGTGGCGACCGCAAAGCGCATGTTGGCCCACCTCGACTCGCAGGCGATTTTGGTGACGAGAAATCAAAACGCATTTCAGATGAACGGCTGCGGTTTACAAAAAAAGAACAAGAAAATGAAGGCGAGAAAACCCCCGATGAAAAGATAAACAACAAACATTGCAGGCAACAATAAACTTAAGACACTCTCGGGAGTTTGGTTTTTGTGGCACGTGCCTTGGCGAACGGAAAATTACGACCGGTACAAAAGCCACGAAATAAAAATACCCAAAAAAGGAAAACACAAAAAAGTTATCGGGTTAACGTGACGGCCAACATCAAAGGAGGGATTTCAACGCCCGCTCGGAGCCGGCGCGGTGTGCGGACGAGGCAGCGTCGGCAAAAGTGACCCCTCTCTCTCAACTCGCAAACGCCTCGCTGCCTCGTCGCGACTCCAACCTCGCCAGCACAGGCTGTCACTCGTTACAAGCGCACCCTCTCTTCGGGGGTGGGGGGGGGGGGGAAGCCTTTCCTGGGCCAAAATCGGAACTTCAAAATTTACCTTTGGTGCTGATCCCCTCACCCCCCCCCCCCCCAACATCAACATCAACACAATCCCTTGCCGACTATGATCCAAAAACCGTGCGTCCACACGGGCACACGGAGGGGAAGCCGGTCACAGAGTGCGACGTTAAAATGAGAAATGCAGCGTTGTTGTTGCCAGCTCGACGAATCCCCCCACCCCTCTCTCCCCTCGAGTACCCCAATTAGTGCGGCAAAGATGCTCGCGGTGACGCGACGGGTGAAGGCCGTTTCGCAGTGGGTAGGCCTAAAAACGGGGACGTCAGTCGCGTCCACTCTCCTGATATTGGCCAAACTTCTCCTACGAAGAACCCCTTCCCCCTCCTCCTGGAAGTCCCCGAGACTGAGTGGGCGGGGGTTATTTAAGATGCGCAACTCAAAACTTTATTCTGATTATATCCAGGTTGCTGTGCAACCCCGTGTAAATAGACACGTGACAGATCCGCCGATTGAAACGGATTCTTAGGCTCACGGCACATGCAGTGATGTGTGTGCGCACGCGCGCAAGAGTCGACCATTCCCATCCACACACACGTGTGATGATACTGTAACATGCTGGGTTTGTGGAAACCCTACAATCAATATCTTGCGCGAACACGTGGCAACAAAAAGCCATAATCCAGGAGGCGGCGGTGAGCCGCTTACGCCGATAGATTTCATTTCAAACGATGGAGAGACCGCATTTCGCGGTGCATCTTGGGCCGGAAATTCCATTTTAAAAAAAAGGGAGGGCAAACTTCGTCTCCGTGTAAAACCTGAAGGTTTGTCACTTCGGTAGATCCAGGTCACTTGCCAAACAAAGAGACGATATCCCACCCCCCCCAACATCTCACCCGGTTAAACAAAAATCACGCCCACCCCACCTCCCCCCGCCCACCAGCGATGACGAACAGAGACGCGACGGCACACAACTCTACCGCCCCCCCCCCCCCCCCGCTGCTGCCGTTTGAGAGAGCGGCCGGTTGCTTTCCCCACGGGGGGGACGCACGCTCCATCGCTTTGAAGATTGGGGCCGCGAAAGCGACGAAGAACCAAACGTCAAAGCGAACCCCCGCCCCCCCCCCCCCCATCTGGCGAGCAACGTCGCACGCGCACAGCCCACGAGTGATCGGGGATGGGGGGGGGGTCACAACCAGCACCCCCCACAGTCGGACCCATTCTGCAGAGAACCCCTCCGACAGTCCAGCGTGTAATCTAATCAATCCTGCCAACCTGCCGCCCCCCCAGCTGACCGATTCGTCTCTCTTCTCTCCCACCATCAGTGAGCCCCCCCCCCCCCCCGCTTACCCTCGGTGGCACCTCCCCCCCCTCCCCCCCTGCTTTGCCCCCCCACCCCCCCCTAATCTACAGCGAAGAGTAAAAAGCTGGAATGTGGTTTCACGATCGTCGTCATCGTCGTCCTACCGGCCTCACTCAACAAAAACCACCCCGCCGCCCCCCAAAGCGCTCCTCTCCTCCTGACGTCGCCGGTTCCCAACGGTGTTGGCTGCGGAGCTGACGATACGTTTTCAAAAGTGGAAACTGCGTGTATTTGCGTAATATACAGTAGAGCGGCGGAACCACTGACTTGGGGGGATATGTCACCCATCCCGCGAGCGGGGGAAAAAAATAACAAAAATACGTGTCCCCGTGACGCCGGGGGTGGGGGGCGGGTGATAGTTTGTTAACGGCTCCCCCCCTACTCCACTGCTGCTGCTGCCTGGGGGCCCCCCCCTACACCTGCAGCCCCCTCCCCTTCCCCCCCCCCCAAGGACGCCCCCCACCCCAGCACTCGGTACCCCCAGGGCGAGTGCAAGGGAGGGGGGGGGGGACCCCAGGGCCGCCACCGCCACCGCGCTACGCTAACAAACAGGCCGCCGCAGCAGCAGCCCCTCGCGCTGTTGCTATTGAACGAACGAGCCGAGCAAGAGAATAATTTTAATGTGAAGTTTTACAGGGATGCTTGCTTTAGTCTGACCTTCGCCCCCAACTAGGGGCGACCTGTGACCCCACCAACACGTTCAATTCCCCCACCCCCGCCCATGCCACCATGCCCCCCCCCCCCCCCCGGCTAACGACAACGCTGTCAGCCACCTCCCCAACCCGCTTAGCGTAGCCCCCCCGGTCACCCTTCACGTCACGGGCGGGCAACGAGGCTTCGTTACCATCAGCTGACAAAACTACATGGGAGAGGGGGAACAGCGGAGGATCAGCGGGAGCCCTGGTTGGGCCCCACATCAAACGCACCACCCCTTCACCAACATCACCACCAGCAGCAGCTCTCAAGCCAATGCAACCATCTAGATCGTGAAGCTTCGTGACCACGTGCTTGGGCTGTGCCACCATTTACTACTGAGAGATGGGAGGGGGGGGGGGAAGGGCCAGGATGTGAATTGTTTAAAAGGAAGACAAAGTCAGTGACGCTAAGAAGCATGCGGCGGCGGTGGTGGTGGTGAGGGGAATAAGGTGGTGAGAGGGTGTGGGGTAGAGGCTGTGAACACTACACCCGAGTCACCACCACCACCCAACAGCGTGTCTTCTTGTCAGACTGTCGTCGATGCGCACGCACGTTGACGTGCGAGTCGGGGGACATCAGAGGGAGGGGGGAAGGTGGCAAGGGATTGGAGAGAGGAGTGCATCACCCAACTCTAAAGTGACCGCATAAAACCTCGTCAATGTGAGCTGCAAGTGGTGATGTCGGTGGTGGTAGTTGTGGTGATGGTGGTGGTGGTGCACGGGGCTGTGTTGTGCTCTTAGTTCCAGATCTTGAGGAAGCTGTCCCAGGAACCAGTAGCCACCGCCATGCCATCCTCCGTCACTCCAAGGCACGACACGCGGTTATCATGTCCAGCCAGCACACCTGGTCGCGTGCGCACACGCAGGGAACAAAAATGTGCAGAACCCCCGTTTAGCACCAAGGTCATCGGAAGGTCACCGCGTAAGTTCTCTCGATGCTGGGCCGTGTGCGTGCGTGTCGAGAAATGTTGCCGCTTGAGCTTCTGCCACACTCTGCCGTGGACACGGTCGTCAACCCCCGAACACGGCGTTAATGTGTCGCGCATCGCTCTCAGGGGCGCGGGGGGGGGGGGGGGTGCCGGGCCAGCTTCAGACGACAGTGAAAGTAAAACGACGCCGACTAGGCTAAACCAGCAGGCCACCCTCCTTGGTCAATACTGCTATTCTATCGAACTTAAAAAAAATAAACCTCTGCGTCCGCCGCGCGATGGACGTTAAAATATGCTGCGATATTAGATGAGAGGATTAGGTCAAGTGTGCCGGTGTCATGGCCCAAATTAGAATAACTTGCCAAGCAGTTGCATGGATTAACAAAAAGCAACATCGCCCCCTACGGAGCAGACTCATGCCGACTTGCAAGCGAGTGCTCTCGTTCACCGGTGCCGCACAGCGACAGCTGCCCATTCGGTTGTCCCCCCCCTCCTCATCCTGGGCTAGAAATCTGACAAGGTGACTTCGGCAGCAGAGCAAGCAACCCGCAAATCGGGAGGTCGCGAGGTCATATCCATGGTTGGTCGGTCGACCTCAGCCCAACATCCCTGTTGGAGTCGATAAAACGAGTACAACGGTTGTCTTGACCCCCCCCCCTCACAGGAATGTGGAATTCATAAGACTGGCTCAGGGCATGAATTAAGGAGGCACGTGCACCGTCTTAATGCTCATGCGAGGAGGAAATCTCCGACTGGGTTAAAAAAAAATGAAAAACCGTGCTGCAAGACATTCCGGTACGATTCTTTTAAAATTGCCGATTATTTATCCGCGACGTCGGTGCTGTGTCGCACCTGCGCGCTCGGCCTTCATGGCGTCCCACACGTTGCAGTTGAAGTCGTCGTAGCCGGCGAGCAGCAGGCGCCCGCTGCGGGAGAAGGCCACGGAGGTGATTCCGCAGATGATGTTGTCGTGGGAGTACAGCACGAGCTCCTGGTCGGCGCGCAGGTCAAACAGGCGGCACGTGGCGTCGTCGGAGCCCGTCGCGAACGCGTTGCCGTTCGGGAAGAACTGCACCGCACCACGCACGCAACAAAAGACAAAAGATCAACCCTCGCCCGCGTATAGCCTGAACAGACTGTCGGGGCAAGTGCTGTTCGAGAGCACATACGATGGACGGGGGAAAAAAAAGCACACGAGGGGGTGGGTGGCCAGCACCACGCGACTGCACCTTTGTATCCCCTGTGGCGATGTTTGCACATCGCACCAGATACTCATTGTAGGCAGTAGACCTAAATGAGACCCAGGACAGGTTCAAATATATTTCGCACACCGTTATAGGTTGCGAGCGGGAATTTCACTCTGGTCGCCGGGCTTGCAGAGCAGCGCCCTTAATCTCGATACTACGGCTCTCCAAGACGAAGAAACATGCGCACATCATGTGTCAACGCGATGATGGGGAATGTCAACGCAGGCCTTCCCCCAACCGCTAGGTAACGGACTGTATGCATCGACTCGCATGCTCGAAACAACTTAAAAAATGTGGCCGAGCGCAGAACTAAAATTAAAAACAGTGCCGTTGATACGTTCCACTCTTGTAGCTGTTTAGTGCGGTTAAGAGGCGACTTGCAGCTATGGATAAATATCGGCTGTGCGCCCTTCAGAAGCAGAAGGCCTCACGTGGTTGTGAGCCAAGCCGTGGCGGGGGCTTTATCTGGCCCACAAGCTGCAGACTGCCCCACTCCTGACAAATAATATTAAATCTTGACTTAAAGCTTTCGTGACTTCAGGAATTCATATTCATATTAAAAACAGAGGAGGCTCGCTTAATAGACTGGGCTTGCCAGCTCAACCGCTCAAAAATCGGGCCCAACGGGAAAGTTGCCGATTTAAGACTAAAGACTGTCCAGAGGATCGCGAGAGCGCCCGGCAAAAATCCTCCACCCCGCATGGGAACCGCCGTGGCCGTGACGGCGCCGCCGCCGCCGACTCACGCAGATGGCGTTGATGTCGGACTCGTGCCCGGAAAAGGTCTGCCGGCACATGCCGTCGCGCACGTCCCACAGCTTGGCGGAGGCGTCGCAGGCGCCCGACACGAACGCGCGGCCGTCGGGGGCCAGGGCCAGGCTCATGACGTCGCCCGAATGGCCCACAAATGCCGTCGTCTGCTGCCCCGTCTCGATGTCCCACAGCGCGCTGGGGAGAGGGGGGGGGGGGGCGGCGGTGCGGGGTGAGGGGCATATCGCGTGGGGAGAAAGGAGAGGGAGATGTGCAAGTGCCGTGCTGGTTAGAGGCTGACAATTGTGGAAATGCACAGGGCGATTCATTTATAGATACCGCACGAAAATACAAGTTCAAAATACAGTCCCGGCTATTTCTTGCTCACGCCGATGCTGCCGGAAGAGCCTTCCCGCTAGAAGAGACCTATAGATCCCTTCTAACAGAGTTTGTGGCATTCTCTTCCATGCTGGCCCGGCATCTTGGAAGGAGGGGACCAGTTACTTGCACGATTTGCCAAACGAAAACTGCATTGAGAAAATATAAAGAACACATTTAGGAGATAAAGTCGACACATTTCTGTGCATTCCACTGTTATTTAAACATTTTGGCTTCCTAAAATGGCCAATGACACTGGCACACAATGGCCGCTTATCGAACAATGGTCGCCGGATCGTCGATGTCCAATAAAGAAGACGGCATGGAGCTGATTTTTTTTACATTCAGTACAACCGCGGCATTTTAACAAGACGGCCTCTGCGGGATCTGAGCCATGAACCCCCTGCAAGCAAGGGGGCGGACGCCGTGTCACCACTCGGCCGTGCCACTGCCCCCGACAACAACCAGCAGAGGGGCAGGCGGCTGAAAACACAGCGAGTTGAAACAAATGGGAGGAGAGGTGGTGTAATTTCCAGCCATCCAAGTCAGTCAACTCATGGCACCTGGGTCTGTCCCGTGACCTCCTGCCAGCAGTGAGCCTTCCACACTTCACCTGATGGCCTCTAAGTGCACCTAGCCTGGCACAAGCGCTGCAGTGACGTCACCACCACAGAGTAGCGAACGGCGGCAGCCGCTGTTGCCGTTATTGCGTCATGTTGTCGAGGGTCAGCGGCTCGGGTGAACGAATCCGTAGCGATGTTTAGGTGGTGGTGGTGGTTTTGGTGATGGTCATGGTGGGGGCGGGGGAAAGGGGGTTGTTGTATTGAGGACACGATGGCGATCGAGCGATCGAGGGTTGACTCGTGCGCAGCGCGGTCCCTCACCATGTGGTGTCGCCGGAGCTGGTCACGATGCGGTTGTCATCCAGGAAGCGGCAGCAAGACAGGTAACCTGGCGACGGGGGAACACGAGCGCGTCAAGATTGCCGGCGACGGGAAACGATGTGCTCGAGAATGGATTTGTTCGATAGAGCCGCCCCCCCTCCTTTACGCCTGCATGTTTCAGCGCAATTCACACACGGATCAGACTTGCATCTCATCGCACGGCCCCCTGCAGCCCACAGCGTAGCCCACGCAAGCTCTACGACACCCTGTCAGTGCATGCGGACGACAAACCAAGCGCTATCCAGGCTCAAACTTGCTTAGCTTCCAAGATCGGACGAGGTCAGGTGCTGTACATTTGGAGTTTGCATGTTACTCCCCGTGGTCGCGTGGATTTGTTGCCGGAATCCTCCGGTTTTTCCCTCCATATTAAAAACATGCATTTTGAGAATTTGACTGCTATAAATTTCCAATTGAAAAGCCACTTCATGGGGCTGAGCTATATAAAGCTCAGCAGGCCTTATCTGGTAGGATAAAAAATGGTTTAGTTTTAGTTTATTTGGTCATCGGCATATCTGTGTATGAGCACTTGTATTTAAGTGTCTTAGTGTGTATAGGCTCAGTGTGTACAAGTGTGTAAGAGTATAGACTTATATATAGATGATGAGTATGTGTAGACGCTGTATGAGTGCGCAAATAATATGGGCGTCTAGGCTGTGCGTGTATATGAATGTGTGTATGTATAGGGCTACGGTTAGTACGCTGCGCTATGAACCTGGCAGCCAGAGTTTGATTTCCGCTCACGGGTCCTGGGCCTCCCCTGGGTCGACTCGGTCTCAAATGAGTACCTAGTACGGTGTGTACACATCGCCACTGGGGAGACAAAGACGGCCAGGCGTGGTGCTGGCCACCCACCCCCTCCGTGTGCAGTCCCAACCTTTATCAGGTGCTCATTAACAGCACTTGCCCCAACAATCTGTTAAGGCTACACAGGGGATCTTTGCCTTTGCCCACGACGAGCGAGTGTATCCGAGCGAGCACCCACCCGTGTGGCCGGGCAGCTCCCTGCTGACCCTCACGTTGCCCTCGCGGGTCTTGAGGCTGTAGATGGAGCAGATGTTGTCGAGGCCGCCGCACGCCACGTAGTTACCGGAGGGCGCGTACGAGCAGGTCATCACCCAGGACGAGCGCAGGGGGATCGCATGTACCTGCGCGGGACGCGCACACGCGCGCAGGTTACAACAGGGGGTACACACGCACAAGGCTTAAACAGAAGTACACACGCGCGCAGGTTACAACAGGGGTACACACGCACAAGGCTTAAACAGAAGTACACACGCGCGCAGGTTACAACAGGGGTACACACGCACAAGGCTTAAACAGAAGTACACACACACAGGTTACAACAGGGGGTACACACGCACAAGGCTTAAACAGAAGTACACACACACAGGTTACAACAGGGGTACAACACGCACAAGGCTTAAACAGAAGTACACACGCGCGCAGGTTACAACAGGGGTACACACGCACAAGGCTTAAACAGAAGTACACACACACACAGGTTACAACAGGGGTACAACACGCACAAGGCTTAAACAGGGGAATACACACACACATGTTACAACAGAGGCACACACGCATAAGAGTTAAACAGGGGTATACAAGACAAAAATATCCCCCGTATAGCCTTAACAGACTGTTGGGACAAGTGCTGTTAGCGAGCACCTATGGAGGCCAGAACAACACACGTTGTGGGGTGGGTGGCCAACACCATTCCCGGCTGCCTTTTGTCTCAGCGGCGATGTTTAAACATCGCACCAGGTACTCATTTGAGGCCGAATCGACCTAGGAGAGGCCCAGGACCGGTTAATTTAATCGTCACTGGTGTTGGCCGTGAGCGGGAATCGAACTCGGGTCGCCAGGTTCATAGCACATTCCGCGAACCGTGACACTACCGCGCTAACCGCTACACTACAGGGATATATACACACGGTTTAGAAAAGTACACACATTACGGGTTACAAAAGGGGTATACACACAGGCGGGTTACATCGACAAGGGTTACAGACAGATATACACAGAAGGGTTGTGGAAAAAAACTCTAGACAAAGATCCCCCGTATAGCCTTAACAGGCTGTTGGGACAAGTGCTGTTAGCAACCACCTTTGAAGGCCGGCACGAAACACGAGGGGGTGGGTGACCAGCACCATGCCCGGCCACCTTTGTCTCCCTAGGTGATATTTACACACTGTACCAGGTACTCATTTGAGGCTGACTCGACCTAGGGGAAGCTCAGGACTGGTTCAAATAATAGCCACTGGTGTTGCCCGTGAGTGGAAATCGAACCCGGGTTGTCAGGTTTGTAGCACAGTGCGCTAACCACTACACTACCGCTCCCCTATATATACACACACACGGTGAAACACATACGGATGCAAACAGATTACGCACTCACGGGCACACACACAGTTCCATGCACACGAGTGTGGATACACATGGATGCAACGGAATACATACCCACTGGTTAACAATTTTATACAACGACTTCAATCAAATGGTATCATTGAAGAGTTCCATTCGACATTTCAAAAGTTTAAAATCAACAGTTTTAATTTTGCACGCGCAATGAGCCGCCGAGGACGCGAGCGGGAAGGCGGGGCGCGCGGGCAGGAGAGCGTACCTTGTTGGTCGTGTAACTGTCCCATATGATGAGTTTGCCGTCCTGGGAGGCGCTCACTAACAGTCTACATGTGTAGCGTGCACATGCATGTGTCACCATGTGTATGCACGTGTGTTACGAGTGTTGCGCGTGTGCGGGATGAGAGTGATGCGAGTGATGAGTGGTGCGTGCGAGTGTTAGGGGCACGTGTGCATATGGTTACGAGTGTGTGGTACGGAGCATGTGGTTATGGGTATTGTGTGCGTGTAGTTATGGGCATGTGGTACAATCGTTGTGTTTAAGTGTTATGATGAATTATGCGTAGAGAAAGAATGCAAATCGTGGATATGGTTTGCATGATGAATGTGTGTGGTCATATATAAAGAGTGTTATGTACGCGTTGTGTTGGGCGCGATGCATTTCATGTTGCGTATCGTGTGTCGTCCGCAAAGCAAGGTGCGTTTGCATGCAGCGATGAAAATGCACGCGCACACAGACACACACAAAAACAAAAAACACCAAAGATGGTTTAGACAAAAATGAAACAAACAAAAAACAGCCAAGACCTCATGCAACGCAAAACCATTGCAACTTAATCCTTTGGCACAAAACTGAGATAAAAAAAAAAAACATCAAGAATAAATGGTGCATGGCCAGGAGAGGAGGGTGATCTTAAAAAACAAACAAACCTGAGATTAAACATAACAAAAAAAATGAAAAGCGAGCGATTAGCACAAAGCACGGCGGTTCGTGGCACGCCAGCGCCACGCTGAAAATGGGAACAGACCACGACTCCCAAACGAGAGAGGGAGAGCAAATGACACAAAGGAGCGACGGAGACGGACAAACAAAAAATGGACCGAGGAATGGGCGGCATCCAACACGATCTCCCATCCTGGGGTCAGGAGCGCATCAAGGAGATGTGCGCAGAGCGAAAGGGCAAAGACCAACAAAAGAAGGACGCGGACACGCACAATGAGCACTGCCACGGACAGCGTACGCACGATGGGTGAGGCACTCACGTGGATTCTATCGCCGCGTTGAGAACCGCTGTCGCTGGGCGAGACTGCCGGGGAAACGCTAAAGACGTACCGGGCAGCCGCTTGTCCGGTTAACAAATGAACGCGATTTCGCCTCGACGAACGAAAAATGTGCAGGACGACCACGGTGAGCTTTGACCTTCGACCTTCGACGATGATGGACCGTGCCTTCGACTTTGGAAAAAGATTTCATTTATAAAGATATAAATGAAACCATAAAAGCAAATCTCGGGCAAAACACTCTACCTTGTTGGTAGTGTGCGAGTCCCATATAATTAGCTTGCCATCTTGGGAGGCACTCACAAGGTTTCTGGAAACAGGGGGGGAAACATTTCAAATGCGCGCACACGTTGCACGCAGTTATACTCGGCAACACCACCCACTGCGCCTTCGCGACATTCACACAATGGTTCGGAGGAGGCTCATTTCAACCTGAAACAGAAAATGTTGACTCGACCACTGCTGTTATGATGACGGAGTGAGTGCGTGGAGTTAGCTTGGTGTAACGGAGCAGCTTGAAGCAAGAGTAAAGGCAACTCAAGATCTCGCTCTCTCAGCAGCTGAAGCTCCATGCCATGTGAGGGTGGGGGGGTAAGACACTGCCAAGAGGAGATTCACAAAGAACCACGCAGCGCAGCAACGCCAACTAAACAAAAAAACCACGCCTGCTCTCTCTCATCGCTCGGAGAAAAAAAAACAACTTCAGGACAGGAAATGTGGAATGCCTGTGCCATGCGACACTCACGCACACGCGCAACATGCTTGAAGGTAGAAAAACAACCACACAAGTTATTAAAATTGGGTTTCGCTCACTCCACGCTTCATCAATTTCAGGCTGCCACTCGCCCGCTGGTCACTCTGCTCACAACGCTCAAGACGATACTGCAAAGTTTTTCGCGGTTGTGCCGCACGCCTCTCCCGGTTTACGTTTTAACAAAAATTTGCGTTGGTTGGCACGCGCAGTGTTGCGTCACGAAGTCCGACGTTTCATTCCACGAGCTCAGCAAGTTCCCGGGCACAGGGAGCGAGATGAAACGTCGGACGTCATGCGCCGCAGAACACCGCGTGGCACGACCCGGGAAAAAACGAATGTGAAAACACTTGGGGCTCCCAAGAACGTAAATAACTCGTACCCTACACAAGATCAAGCAGGCCTGGCAGAAAATAAAAGTTGACTGGGAACGCTCGATTACCGGGAATAATGGGGACAGGGGGTGGTCCCGATGAAATAAGTCAAACGGATTATGCAAAATATACAAATTATGCTAAAATGATCGTTTACCCAATTAGAATAGGAGTGAAGAAATCTTCCGTTTTAAAAAAATCGCTTCTACAAGTAAATCAAATCACTTTCCGCCAACGGCATATGCGGTAACGTGGGTGTCGAGCCACTGACGGGCGAGGAGCAGCCAACAATTAAACCAGCGCACAAATTAAATAATTAACATTTTTTGCGAGCGTGATTAATCCACAAGTCACATCATGTTCCCCACCGATAACCAAGAGTTAGCTGTACAAGACAAAAACAAGACCAGGATTGACATACGGATTTAAATGTTGCGACTCTTAAAACCCAGGGGAGGAGCAGAAGATGCGCGAGATGGATCCGAGGAACACAAGACTGGATGGTACGTATGTAGAATTCTTCACACAGTACGTAGCCAACAGTGCTAATTGGAGGTGCGGGGGAAGGACAACAAACCAAAAACACAAAAAAGGAGTTCCAAAGAAATTAGTTTTTAAATTTAGATCGGGTCACAAATGAAGGGATGACGAAGAAGGCAAGAGTGGCAAGTGGCCATCTCACGATAAGTTGGGAGAAAGTGGACTCGGACGGCGAGAGACGGAGGACAAGTCGCTTACGTTTAGGTGTACCCGTCTCAGGCAAGCTGGAAGAAAGTCAACTAGATGGCGAGGGGGGGAAATGTTACGAGGTGGTAAATCCATAACGGAAGGAACGTTGAACGACTAGGGAAGCATCAGGTTGGAGACCAAAAGACAGGCCCTACAAAGCGGTGGTTTTAAAGCTGTGAACAATGGTAAAGAACTGTGCAGTGGACGTGGAGATGATAACCCAGGACAGAAACAAGTAGATAAAAGGGAGCAGAGAGGCAGTGAGAAGACACGAAACCCTGGCCACAGCACACAGGGGCAGAGCAAGGTGCCCACATGCAAAGACAGACACCCCCAACGCAGCCTTTCACAGACCGTCGAGGCCAAGTGCTGTTAAAGCGAGCACCTATGAAGGCCGTCATGGCACACGCGCGCAGACACGCACACACGGGGGAGCGGCGGTGGCACCTCGAGTCGGAGCCCCAGTGCATGGCATAGATCTTGGCCAGGTGTCCACGCAGCGTGCGTCGTGTCCGCATTTGGATTCGACCCACGGGATCCATGTTGGCCGTGATCTGGGGGGAGCGGTAAGGATCCAACAGCCAGTCAGGCAGAGGCTCACGTTTATTTTATTTAACCAGCCGAGAACTCAAAAGTGATAGGACATTTGCAAGAGTGATGCAGGCGACAGGCAAGGCTGCTTTGCTGTGTGACAAATCTCCCTCGTGAACAAATGCAGTCGGGCTCTCTAAAATGTGACAACCACTGCCAAACCCTGAGCCAACCTTGTGAAAATGGTCGACCGTCTAAACCCACCCCAACTGTGGCCTCCACCTCCGCATGGAAAACCAACACAGCACGATTGCTGTATCAAGAGCTCTTACTTGATACAGCAATCGTGCTGTGACGGTTCCACCTGAAGACGGAAGCTTGTGTTGCATCCGAAAGGTCGTGATTTTTATTTTACTTTCATTAATTTATATTTTTACCTACGTGACTTTACCGAAAAAACCTAAGAGTATGAATCCTTGCAGTCACGAAAGCTTCAAATCTAGAATTACTTTGAAACGGGCTGCAAACAGTGTTTACCCATAACTGCAAACATCTTAGCCGCACTAACCCAGTACTTAGGGAGGGGGACTACTCCTTTTTACCCGGCAACAACAATGCTTCGTTTGAGTGTGAGCAAGTGAGAAGTTGCCCGCCCAAGTTATTTGCAAGTCCTCCTCGGCCCTCGGTAAGAGAAGTTTCCCTATACTTGTTCCACAGCACCTTCTCAGACTATGCCACCACCGACACCACAGCCAGTAACCATTTGGTTAGGGGATTCAAGCAAGAAACCCATTCCAAACTCACAATTCCACTGCCGATAACTTCTGCAGGAATCACAATTATTATTGAGTCTTTCAGTAAAGTCACGTAGATAGGTTCAAAGAAAATTAAAACAATTACAAAAAAACTACGTTTCGATCGCAACACAAGCAATCGTCATCAAAAGAGCATTTTTCTCCTGATGACGATTGCTTGTGTTGCGATCGAAACGTTGTAGTTTTTTTGCTATTTTTGTTATTTTCTTTGAACCTATGGGACTTAACCGAAAGACTCAAGAATAATTGTGATTCCTGCAGTCATGAAAGCTTTAAGTCAAGAATCACAATACTTCAACTAAAACTGAACTTTTTTAAATTTATTTCACCAGCTAAGGCCCAGATTTTCAAAAAGCGAGCCAACTCAACGAAGTGGCTTAAATGTGCAAATTTATAGGAGCCAAATTCTCCAAAACGTACGTTTCTAAAATATGGAAGGGAAAAAACGGAGGACCCGGAAAAAAATCCACGCGACCAAATATACAGGTGCCAGGGTTGGGATCGAACCACCGATCTCCTGCATACCAGGCCAGGGAGTTAACATTTCGCCACCGTGGCATCCCCTTCTTATGGGCAATTTCCATGTCAGTCTCCAATCACCCGCATGGGATTCAAACATTACAATAGTCGAGCATGGTCATCCAGTACCAACCAATGTCAATGGCAATACCGGCATCTCTATTCAAATCAAAGGGGAGTTCTAAGAGATGATCTTTAATTGGGCTGTCAAAAATAATTCCATTCACTTGAATGGAGATGCTGGTTTCAACCAGTGAAATAAAAGGCGATTTCCCCAACAGCCTAGGAACCGTGCGTAGAATCCCATTTTTTACGATAGCGGTATCAGAGTCTCCATAAAAGAGAACGGGAATTGTAGCGGTGATTCCAAGGATCACCACTAGATGGCAAGCCCTGGCTCTTGCCGACCGAATAAAATAGTTGGACACGAAGCAGATTCAAATTATGCCGTTTGGAATGGTGAACGATTTCATTAAGCACAGTGCAATTCTGGGATAGGGATCGTGTGAATTGCCTGGCACCAACGCCTATCGCATGCACCGGCCACACTAAAACACAAAGACAAACCCCTCCCCCGTGTAGCCTTAACACTGTTGGGGCAAGTGCTGTTCGCGAGCACCAATGAAGGCCGACAGAGCACACGAGCGGGAGGGTGGCACAGCACCACGCGCCCAACCACCTGCGTCTCCGTAATGGCAATATTTCCACATCGCAGCACTCATTTGAGGTTGAGTCGACCTAAGGGCGGCCCAGGACCGGTTTAAAGAATCGTTACTGGCGTTGGCCATGAACGGGAATTGAACTCAGGTCGCCGGGTTCATTGCGCAACACGCGCACCGCTACATTACCACTCCCCACATCACCTACATCATTACAACTATCACAACAATCAGCACCTCCATCACATTCATCAGCCCAGTTATTACCATCACCACCACATCACCACCACATCACCACTCCTACCACCAGTTTTTACCGCAACCACCACCTGTTATTACATAATCTCCACTTCCACTAGAGACATGACCCTCCTCCACAACATCAGTTCTATCTGAAACAATCACTTCCAACACCACCAACAGTTATTACCTACCACCACCACCAAAATGAGCATGATCACATCATCTTCACTACCCATCGTTTCCACCACAACTTTCACCTCCAACACAATAAATCACAGCCCCCATGTGGTGCGAGTTTGATACCTGGGTGAGGGTCGTGTCTCCACACGCCTTCCTCGCATCCTGCAGGACAAGAGACGGGGTGGGGAGTTGAGAGGATCGGGTGATGAGAGGGGGGCAGAAAGTAGGCAGGCGACAAAGATGAAGACACTCAATGCACTTAATCATCGCTCTTTCACCATGTCACTGCCTTGTCGTTGCCATGCTCATGCGCCCCACCTTACTGGGCCCGAGAAGCCAAGCAGGGTTGAGCCGAAAGTTTTCCCCTAGCAGGTCAGCCAATGGGTGAACTCGAGGAACTGTTGTTCACATGTAGCCAATTACTAGACTGGGTCTTCTGTCCACCGGAGTGTCTCAGTCACGGCCACCAAACCCATCTCCGTCTGCTGCGTGTTCATTCAGAATCCGTAAGTCCAGCCTGGTCACTGTCGATCGCACGTCGGTCTGCGGTGGGTGGGCAGCAGGCACTGTCATGTCGCTTGGTCATCAGCCACCCAAAATGAAATGAAAGCAACGAGTTGACGAAAAAAAATTCGGGTACTAAATTTTGTCAATGGAACAAAAACCCAACGCGGAACGGAACGAATCACAATGTGCCGAGACGCCACTGTTGGGGGGTGGGGGTGAGTGGCTCTTAGGACTTGTACACAAGGAGGGGGAAGAGGGTGAGGCGGCGGAGTGGGGGGAAGTAGGAGCAATACAGGGGGGGGGGGGGGGGCCCGGCGTGGCTCAGTGGGTACGTGCTAATAGGCCACATGGGGCCCAGCGGTGCAAACGCAAGCAATCGCTGGCAACGAGAAGGGGCCATCGAACAACACGGATGAAGGGACTATAATAATAATTTAGTATACAGTAGAACCTCAGATCGAACGCACCAGAACTCGAACAAATCGGTGGTTGAACGATATTTCCGAACATTTTTCGCCCCGGAAACGGAAAGAAATTCGGAGGTCGAACAGGCAATCGCAACTTAAAAGAACCTGTACGGCTGAGACGCGTATGGCCAGCGTGCATGACGCTTGCCCAGACAAAGGTTTTACCGTACGAGAGGCTCAGTTAAAAATATCACCCAGATAAGGCAGAAGCCAACCGAGTGAGCAATCTTTTTGATGATAATGCAATGTGTCATTTTCGAAACATCCTAAAACGGAGGCAGAAACAAACCTCTTAAGTTAAGTTTAGTCAGAAAGAGCTGAAGTGACTCAGTTAGTGGCAGAAAAGAGGCAGAAAAGAGGCACAAAAGAGAAAGAACCCCAGAAGGGCAGTTTACCCGACGTTATTATGGAAGGGGACTCCCCTTCCAAACAATAACTCCACCACCACCTACTCCTCACCACCTTCCACTAAAGCCATCAAACTCTCCTTACTACAGGTAAAGTGAAGTTGAATGTTCATTTATTTAATTTATTACATATATATTTATTCCATTTATTTATTGTGTTTCTTGTTTTATTGTATGATTTTATGCGTGTAATTACTGTAAAACTTCGTGTAAAATGCTTTATAATGAGAGATTTCTTGTGTCTGGAACAAATCAATGTCATTTACATTAATTCTTATGGGGAAAATGAATTGGTGTTCGAACAAATCGGTGTTCGAATGGCCTTCTGGAACGAATTAAGTTCGATCTCTGGGGTACCACTATTTGGTATTCACGCTATTCTCAATGTGCAAGGCTGTCATGCAGGTGCTCGTTTCAAATATGTAGAACTTCTTTCGCACCGTACGTAGCCAACCGTACTAAATTGTAGGTGCGGAACAAGTCTAACAGATTTTACCACCCATTAGTCACCCTTTTTTGTACCGTCACGCCGGCGCACGTGGGCCCATTCTTGTTGTTTGAATAACGTCACGGGATCTTCAACGTCCGCTGGTCGCGCTAGCGCCGTGCCGTTTCGTGGTTAAATTCACTCGCGGCATTAACCAGGGTAAGCCAGCCAGCCGCTGGGCTCGAACCGCAAACCTCTGCAACGAACTGCAAATGGCCCTACCGCTCGGTCACGTCGCCACACACGCGTCATAGTGCCAGTGGCGGTAGAACTTGCACTGGAAAAAAAAAGATTCCCCCGTGTCGTCTCCAGTCTGCTGGCGCAAGTGCTTTTGGCGAGCACCTACGAAGGTCGGAATGGCGCACAAAGAGTGGCCGTCCGTTTCGCTCTAAGAATGACAATAGAAAACTACTATTTATTATTACAAGATAACCACAACACCACGTGTGTGTACGCGCATGCACCTTGATTTGATTCTTGAGCTGTTCTGCCTCCTGGCGGAGTTGGTCCAACTCGCTCATCGTCGCCACGGTTCTCTCCACAAGTCGTCAGGGGTGTCACACTCTCCTCAAATGCTCGCCAAGTTCACTTCCTCCTGTGGGCGGGGAGAAAAAAGGTGGGCGGGGGGGGGACAAGGTAGACAAGGAGATTTATTTAACGATCGACAACCTGTAAAGGATAGTTTAACAGGTAGGCTTTCGCGACCAATTTTATCAATAAAGGTTTTTCGGGTTAGAAAGCGTAGGTGTGTCGTTAAACCCCCACCACCCGACACAGCCAATTCACAAGGTGTGTCACGTAAAAAAAAAGTGTCAATTGAGGGTTTATTCTCCAAAACACAGGTGTGTTGCTGAAGTAGTAACTAATTGACTGGTTTTGTTTACGTGACAAACCTTACGAATTGGCTGTGTCTGGTGGTGGTGGCTTTAACACCACATTCATACTGTCAAGGATAACCAGGAAACAGTTCAGTTTTGCACTTTTGACCAAATCGCCCGGTCACAGCTAGCGTCAGTGGCGAGTTGTCACCGCCCACTGGACAACCGCCATTCGACACTAAGTGGCTGTGACGTCACCACGACGCTTGAGCCAGGCTATGTGCACCTTGAGGCCAAGTGAAGTGTCGAACGCCCGCTGGCAGGTCACAGGGCAGACCCAGATGCCACAGGTCGACTGACAAGACCACTGGCTGATGCACCACCTGTGCCCCCTACTGTACCAACTTGTTGTGCTTTAGCCACCCGGCACTGCCGCTTGTTGTTGTGAGCGTCGCTTCTCCGCCCTTCGTTGTTGTTGGAGGGCGACTGCCTCCAACTGCCCAGTAGCATCCTTCACGAGCCTCCTCCACAGAGGCCGATCTTGACACCGCTGGTACCAGTCATCAGCAAGTTCACTCAGCTCCACATCCTCCTGTACCACATCACTCCATCTCTTCTCTAGCCCGTGCCAAGCCCGTTTAGCCCCCTCGATCCGGCCGAACAAAAGCTGTTTAGGCATGCGGTGGCTGGGCATGTGGGCAACATGATCCAGCCAACGCAGCCTTGCCTGCCAGAGGAGCTCAACGATGGGACTGTGTCTAGATCTTTCAAGGATTTGTGAGCTCCTCACACAATCCAGCCTGTTAAGCCCTGGATGGATCGTAGGCAGGCCAGTATAAATGTTTCTAACCGGCGAAGATGTTCCATTAGGAGGGGTCCACGTTTCGCAAGCATAGAGAAGGGAGGGAATGACTGTGGCCGAGAAGACCTGAAGCTTCGTGCAGAGCGACAGACCAGGTAGCTTCCACACAGCGTTACGCAACCGATGAAAAGATAATGCCGCTCAACTGATTCGGAGTGAGACCTCTGCTGTTAAACCGGAGCCGGTTATGAGCACACTGCCCAGGTATGGGAAACTCTCCACTCTCTCCACAACTGCCCTATCACCATTGGGAGTTTTGGAGGTGGAGTGTCCGATGGTACAAAATACCCAGGCAGGTGCTTAGTTTTGGTGGGGCTGATGGTAAGGCCCCACACCTCTTAGTGGCAAGCTCCAGGTTCAGCAGCAACGCCTCCATCGCCTCCGAGTGAGCAGCAATTACCAGATCATCGGCATACATAGCGTGGTTGAGCAATAGGGTGCAATCCCTTGACCGCACCCGCGCATCGATCAGCCTCCCATTGTATCTATATCAGATGGAAATTCCTAACGGTACAGCTATTGAAGGCTTCACGAACTACGTGGTCAAAATAGATGCTAAATAACGTGGGAGCCAGAGGACATCCCTGTCCCACCCCAAGGTGTACAGGGAATGGCTCCGACTCCCAGCCACGTAGTTTTACCCGGGCCCGCTCACCATCATGAAGGTCCTTAATGATCGGAGCAGAGGGTAAGGGACTTCGAAAGCACGAAGAACAACCCAGAGCCCAGGCCTACCGATGGTATCATAGGCCTTGACCAGGTCAATAAAGCAGAGATGTAGGTCTTGTTGGAATTCCCTACACCTCTGCTGTAGCAGACGGAAAGAAAATATGGCATCTGTGCAGGACCGCCCTTTCCTGAAACCGCATTGGGGCTCCGCAAGCCTCTCCTCAGCGTGCCTAGCAAGGCGATGTTGAATCAACCTTACCAGGACCTTTCCTGGCATACTGAGGAGTGAGATGCCCCTGTAGTTGTTGCAGTCGGTGCGGTACCCCTTCTTAAAGAGGGGGACCACCAGGGCATCCTTCCAATCCTGCGGAACCCGTCCACTGGAATCGACTGGTATCACACGTGCATCAAACTTCCCACAGGGCCCGATGGGAAGCAGAGAGGGCTTTAGGTCATCGTCCAGCAAGTGGAACGCCGAAGGGCTGCAGATACATCACAAACATGGGCTCGGGATTCACTATGCCAACGAATAGACCGACGATAAATTTACACCGAAACTAAATTATCCAGAATTTGTGTATAAATCGGGGAGGTTTTTGATTGACTCCTTTAAAACCTAAAAACGTTCAAATGTTTAAAAACCGCGCTGACAAAAACTCAAAAAGCGAACAGCACGCAAAGCCACACCGAGCGGTTGTCATCCACGCTGCGTGGGAACGTGACGGTGCCAAGTGCAGCCCCAGCCTGAACAGTGGCTGCCTCAGTGGCTGCCTCAGTGGCTGCCTCAGTGGCTGCCTCAGTGGCTGCCTCAGTGGCTGCCTCAGTGGCTGCCTCAGTGGCTGCCTCAGTGGCTGCCTCAGTGGCTGCCTCAGTATTGCAATTGTGGGATTGTCGGTGGTTTTACTGCCATCGTTCACCTTTCTTGTATATTGCGTTTTTATTTTTCCAGTGCAAACCGGTCTCTTCCAAGACACGCCTCGCCATCGTGAACACCGAAATGCCAGATGTCGTCTGGACAGGGCTCTCTCACAACGCAGTTCCAAATCAAGATCTCTTTTGTAAATCGGCGGCGTGAGCAAGCAATTTCCAGGGCTGCATCTTGTCCAATATGCAACGCAATATAAACACGAGACATTGCATGCCGTCAACGGGCGAGATGTGATCTTTGGTGAAAATTTAATGGCGGTTTCAAGAAAACCAACACACCGGGGGTGCGCTACCCTGTCCTAAATCAGCTTCGTATTTCAAGGACTCTGCAAATAAGAATAATTCTAACAGTGCACGGGATTGCGAGAAGCCCAGCTTGAAAAGACGAGCTCAACGGCGGCGCTGTGCCCAACCCCTCCTGGCGAAACCGCCCAGGTGTGTGCCCAGGGAGAGGAAGGTGCTTTTGTTTAGAGAGTCGTCACCATGGCGAAAGATAGGTGTGCTTATTAGGGTAATTAGCGAGTGCAGCTCTTAACGAGGGGTTTTGCCAGGGGGGTTAGGTGATGGCGTGGACGGTGCGTGTGTGACAGGGGGGGAAGGGGGGCACTGAAGGTGGCAGGGGGTCTACAAGAGAGACAAATGCTTGCAGGTAAGCACGCAGGTACACGTGGATACACGAGACACACAAAGGTACGCAAGCGGATACAGGTACCCAAGCTGACAGGTACAAGTGCTTCCACACAAAGGCAGTGCAGGTACATAGGTGCACACACAGGTAAAGCATGGAGGAATAGATATGCACATTCAAAGTTACACGTGCAGGTATGCACGAGTATGGAAGCCGACAGGTAAACGTACAGGTACACATCCAGAAACAGTTCCACACACAATTAAACAAAGGTCATTCTAGGCACATTGATGGATGGCTATGCTACTTCAGCTCATACCTGTAAAAGCACACACACAAACAAAAGGTGGATACAATGTCCAGGCAGGTTGGCAGGCAAATACGCACGCAGATGTTTAATACAGGTGCACACACACGGGTATCGGTGCGCAAGTGCAGGCACAGTTCGTGTGCGTCTCCCGAGAACGATCATTAACTGGCTGCCCAGAGGAACAGCAGCCAAGACAACCACTGTCCGCCCTGCCCACCGCCCTCAACCCTGTCAGACTGGCCAGAAACGCAACCACTTGCCCCCCGCTTATTGTTATTAGAACAAGAAAGCCTTGCAGAGTCTTACAACTGTTTTTCAAGAGGGTCCTGGCAAGTGTCGCACGACAGATGGGGGGGGGGGGGAATAATTGTGTTGCATATTCCAATTGAGTAATTTGCTGGTATTTTTTTGTTGTTGTTGTGTTATTTGGAAAATTTGGACAGTGATGCCCAGCACACAATGGCCTACTCTCGCGAATGACATAACGCGTCACGTGACCTTTTGACGTCCAGCAGACTGTGCGCATTTTTACGGCGAATACACCCGCGGTATTATTCAGGGCAGCTAATAGATTCAAACCGTGAACTTCTGCAAACAAGCGGCGAACGGCGCTAAACCGCCGGACAGTCCCAGATCACCACCACCAACGATGAATCCACTGCTGGACGAAGGCCCCCCCCCCCCCCAAGCAGTCCCCATCACCCATTGTCCAGCAACGAAACAATCCATCCAGTCGCTACACCACGAGTTGGGTTTCATCGCAACATCCCCAAGCTCACACCTTTGGCTGCAACTCTGTACTTGCGCTCACCCGATTGAAAAAGTTCCTAATAGTAAAACACAAACGTTACAAATACAAAGCCAATTTATATGTAATTGATCTTTGAAAGGGGTAATAGTCAATGTATTCTGGGTTGTTTACATGCCTTTCCCTTCCAGTTCCATCCTGCCCCCCCCCCCCCTCATCTCACACCACATGGTCTCGTTAAAATCCTTCCGTGTCTGTGGGCACCTCAGACCGATCCATCCCGACTGTAGCGGGAGGGTGGCCGCAGTATTAACAACTGTGCTTTCCAGTAAGAAGTGCCTGGGTTTAATTGCGGTCTGCCACTTCTCTGCGTGGAGTTTTGTATGTTCTCCGTGTTCTGCATGGGTTTCCTCCGGGTTCTCTAGTTTCTGCCCCCACTCCACTTCCACCCATAGCTAAAAAAACACCCAAACAATTTAACTGGTATTGGCCAAATATTTCTAATTACTCAATTGGGATTCATATAGCCACATTGCCCCAAACTTGACATCTTAGCAGGAGCTACCTGAAAAAGTTTTGAAGCGAGGATTTACTGGGTAAATTGACCTGCAAATTCCCCAAATTGGCATTATA